TTCAATTCACGTATTTCTACAGCAATTCTCTATCTCCGAAGCAAGTTCTATCTAAATCCTCTCACAAATCTATACTTCAACAGTGGGTGCGCTGTTTCGTGGGATTCCCTTTAGAATGGGAAGAGTCACAATAAATCCAAATATCATTCGATTTTGATAAAAATCTAGAACTTAAGTACTTGATATAGAATGAGTTTTTTCTACAAAGCCACACAGCTTTTGAAGCGATGGCGCAAAAGCTATTTTCAAATCCAAGTTTCTAGCGTCCCATGAATCTCCCTTTCAATTTCCCTTAGTTACCGACTCACTTTATCGTTATACAAAGCTTGCCATGTTCACTTCTGCCTTCTCCCGTCTCACTCACTCTCCATGACTATCACTCGTATGTTTTGAAGCCTGGCTTTTCAATTTAACGAACGACTTACCTTCTACCCAACACTTACAACCAACGAATTTTCACCATTTTCACCATTTTCACCATCAGCAGCAGTAGCAGTAGCATTCCAAAATAAAAAGTAAACGAAAGACCGGATCCTCTCATTTCAAGTGAACATATACAGAATATCATTAATAACCACTCCCATCTTGACTCTAAAGAGCTGGATGGCACAAGTACAGATGTGTGCCCTCTCCCATGCATACATGCATATCCCACCACAATCACAATCACACGGCCTTCCCTTGCTCTTTTCCAGAACATCATATCCCAATACTAGGTAGCTAGATCCAAATCCTGTATCAATCAATTATTTCTCATGCGTAGACTATATTTTCCAATCCCTCTCCCTTCCAATCCCTCTCTCCCTACCCCTCTCTATCCCCATCCCCATCCCCATCCCCACTCAAAAACACACACAGTACATAGTACACCAACCCCCCTCCCCCCAACACAAATATCCCTTCCTCATTTCTCAAATCCCTTCCCAAATCCCATACAACTACCAACCAACCAAAATACCCCAACACCAATATCACAGACCCCCACATCCGCAAAATCCGCAAATTCTGGAGCGAGAATACACACACAGTACAGAAATAAAGTTTTAGCAAGTGGGGAATTGGAAAGTTGAAACTGTAGATTTATCCATCTCATTGCTAACTCCTACATACATATACATATATATTGCTTCACAAGTTAGTATCCGTTAGGTGGGTACATAGAGTAGACACTTAGTCGGTTGGATATCTCTTCAAGATGATCCGTCAGGTATTTACTACTGTAGATACTGCTAATGCTGCAAATAAAAACTAAACTACACCACGATTCATTCATGTTGTGCAAAATTATGCATCAACTTTCTTTTACCCTGAAATTTCCATACTGTCGATTCCGTTGCATTTCATTCAGACTTTGGGCCTCAAAATTCAAGATCTGCATCAAGTGTCATGCTTAATAAATCAGAAATCTAAAGCATGCAGACTCAAATACTATGTTGTCATTTTCTATTCACATGGAGTCGGTCAACATGGAAGCAAGAACATCCTAGCTCCCTAGGAATGCAATAATGAAATCCATTAAAGTAGAGCAAAATATTTGGTTCTGCAATTTCGGTCATTCGATGTAATATACAGCAAGGAATGCAATTCTAAATGATAAATAGTCGAGAAAGCTTTCCGCCTAGCCTCTAAAGTTTTCCTCTATGAGTACACAATGCAAGATGCTCCACAGATATGCAAATTTTCCTTCGCGTGTAAAGTAACAATCAACCTCGGTTGCTGTCTGATATCCTTGAAATCCATCTCATCATTATAAGATCATCCATCTCTTTCGGTATGGCAGCGGCAGTGGTGTTTTGTATCTGGTTGTACTTCAAGTTCGGAAAGCTTTCGTTTCTGGACCCGTGAACTCGACAGATCTTCAACAAATTTCTTAACGCAATTCAAAGCGACATCCAGATGCAAGACCTTGTTTGGTCTGGCGCATCTCATCAAAGCCTGTTCGGGAATCTGTGTTAGAAATCGACCAGATATACCAAGTTTTCCCTTTTTAGCAGGAGAATTCAACTGAAGAATGATGTTGAGCAGCTTTCCTGTAGGAGTATCACTCTGGTAGGCGGAGTAGAGAGTAGCCTCCTGCCAGGATTGTAATAATTGTGTGTGATCTATGAGTTTCGACACATTGGCTATGATGATTTGTCTTCTCACAAGCTCTAACACACTAGCCCTCAAGATTTTGTATTGAGATTCCTCGGAAGGTGGTTGAAATGGAATCTGAATAGCACATCTATCGACAAATGCTTCATCGAGGCAATCGATCATGTTTGAAGTCGACATGAAGACAACATTTGGACAAGCTCTGACCCTGTCAAAACCAGTGAGTAGAGCATTGGTAGCTCGTAGTGAATCCTGAGCTTCTCCATGCATGACACCCGAGTGTCTTGATACGGCAATAGATTCAACTTCATCAATCAATACAATGATGATGCGTTTTGGATTGATTTGGCACATCAATTTGATTTTGGTAAACAAATCATCGACTTGAATAGCGCTTTCACTATAGTACTTTGACAAAAGCGTCGCCGTCTTGACTTGGATAAGTTTTGTATGTGGGAATTGCTCGACCAACCGAATGGCTAATCGTTGTGCAATTGCTTGGCATAGTGTTGTCTTTCCTGTTCCTGGAGGGCCTAGATTGAGTGGGGCACTACCTAGCCATCATTGCACTAACAGCAATGACGGTCATTGGTAACCCCATAAACATTAGACTTAATTCTGGTGATTAGGAATAGGGAATTGCGTAGACACACCATGAAAAAGAGCCATAGGACTCATTTTTTTCTTTGCAGGTACTGCACTTGCAGAAAGCAACACTATCAACAGCCAATTAGCTACTACACAAACTCAATGCCACTGAAAAGCTGTCCCTACACATATTCGATATCATCCAGGACAAATCTTCCTTATGATTTTGATCAAAGATGAGCCTGGGTGAATCGTCAGTCAAAACAGCGTCTGATGATAATTACAGTAGAACATACTCTTCCCACATTCCGTTAAAATCATGATGAGGCATGTCAAAAACTTCAGCCGATGGTATCTCTGGATCATCATCGTGTTCAACGTCTGAATCTACGCCGTCGAGGTCTTCAGATGAACGTGTCAACGGTGGCGGTGGCGGAGTGCCATGCATCCTGTAGACACAGAAACGACTTGATACATCTCGAAGTGTGAGAAGTGTAGGCATTTCTTGATTTTCAACGGCGAGAATATCCACTGGGACTAAAGACTCTATACTTAGAGCTATACCTTTGACCCCCCACTCAGCACTACGTTCTGTTGATTCTTGATAAATATTCATTCAAACAAAGAAAGATGAACGATGCAAGGAGACTTACGTGCAAGAAGAGGCAATATATCAACGTCAACGATGCAAATAATGTCTTCAATTTCTGGCTTCTGAATCAAGTCGGAAAGAAGCTTGTGAGTCTAGTGTATAAATCATCAGTCAAATTCTTACAACGAAAGTTAGGATTGTTTTTCTTTTCGTACAGCTTTCAAATCATTGCAATCCAAATCATCCTCAACGAATGGTCGGAGCCTCGCCTCAAAGGTAACAGTCGGCTTTTCAAGAGTTGGCTGAGCCGGGACGATCTCCATGATGAGCGTCCAGTGTTATTCTCAATTCTAATTTACATATCTTGAATTGAATTGAGGTATGTGAGAAGACTCGATGTCATGGAAAGGAACAAAAAAGAGGGAGGATGGTTGAGAGGTATGGTATAGAGATGAATCTGGAGTCATCAAAACTTTAGGCAGAAGGTGAAAGATGAAATGTACATGAAGAGGAAAGGACGCTAGGAAAAGGGACGCAGGGGAAAATAGGCCAGAGGAGGGAAGTAACAAAAATGGAAGGAGCACTGGAGCACTGGAGCACTGGAGCTTTTGACTTAGGTAAGCTTGAATGCTCAAATTACTACTGCTCAGGTGATACCTCGCTCGTAGTATATTCAAGACTCAAAATTCGTAGGTGTCCTTGAATTTTGGAAAATCTTCGACTCGAATACCGACTAGGTATATATCATGCATAGTAGGTAATTTACGATTACTTTGAACATCAAAAGATCCATACCTTGTACTCAACAACACCGCTAAAGTTCTTATTAGGTGAAAGCAGAACCTTCGACGCTCACACTGAATGTTATGATTCAACCGTTACGTGGTAGGTACGATGAGACCATATCAGTTCAATATATGAAATTATCTCCAACACTTAAACTGAATGTTATTCTGCTCATGGCTGATATGAGCACATGATAAGCTTCCATGCCTCTCAGAATGTTGTTAGTTAAAGCTCCTGTCCTACGACCACAAGCGTCTGACATGCTGGCTCAGGTATATATAAAAATGAGGATCTCAAGTACCATCCTGTACATAGTAGATTATGGAAAGAACAGGCCGTATTCAACTCCAAATACCGAGGCTCCTTCAAATGATTATTATCCCCTATGTGAGATATGTGAACAAGAAACATTAGAAGTAAGAAATATAAACATGAAGCCCCGCTGGGCTACTACTACAGAGGAAACTGTTTCGCTTCGTTCCAGAAGATCTTTCATATCTCTTTAGGGAGGTTTATCCCCAGGAGTGAGAATGAATCCGTATCAAATCTTGCTTGACTTGACCTCAATCAACAGAATGAGAAAGAAAGAAGTGATCATTCTTGATAAATGCATCGCTTCGAAGCCCTCTTTAATGCAAAGTTGGTTGATATAGAAAGTTGGATTGGGTTCAATTTACTTTTTGTTGGTACCTGAGGTTTGAAGTGATGTGGCGGTGCCTCAACCTCACCCATGTTCGCAGGTGGCTGAATGTACCTACCTAAGGTTCCTGGCTAGCCCGCTTACATAACGTCTAAGCTTGTAAATCGTCATAGCTTGGCAATCCATCACCGCCATAACAAAAGATGGATCTTGGTCTGGGTTCCTTCAGCTAAATGAATTGTTTACCGTGTTGGTAATGTTATTCTTTCAATAATTCGAAAAAGTCTGCCAAAACTCATCATGGCTTCCACTATGGATGCCCTCAGAGCCCCGGAAAAGGATTGTCCAACATACGACCCTACACATGTTGAAGGTCAACAGACTGCGATATATGTTCAACTAGTCCTTTCGCTAACTCTCGGTGTGTCTGCTTTCTTTGGCTTCTGTGTAAGTAACGACAAGTGTATGCTGGATTGATAGAAATTTGCTAATATTCGCAGATCCTGCGACCAAAATGGAAGAGTTTATATGCTGCGCGCAAAAGACATGTCGACGCTGCAGCAAATCTGCCAGAGCTTTCGGATACTTTTTTTGGTTGGATGCCTATTTTGTATAGAGTCACGGAAGAGCAAGTACTCGCATCTGCTGGATTGGATGCATATGTTGTATGTTTTGAGAACCTATTTCACTGGAGAACGAATAATACTGACTTCAATTAGTTTCTATCATTTTTCAAGATGTCAATGAAACTATTCGGGGTCATGTTTATCATGGCAGCTGCTATTCTTGCCCCAATAAATCGACACTACTATTACGTATTCGATCCATTTGGAAATACAACGAGTCCTCCCGATATTCCAGATTACTCAAAGTTGGAGGGTTGGCATGGCGGATGGGATGGGGCTTTGACTTTGGAAGTACCAAAAGACTCTGACGACAAACTACCTGAAACCAACTATCTCTGGTCATACCTTGTCTTCACCTACGTGTTCACTGGACTCGCAATATTTTTCATGAACAGACAAACCCACCGAGTGATCAGGGTTCGCCAGGACTACTTGGGAAGCCAATCCACAATCACTGACCGAACGATCAAGCTTTCTGGGATACCGGAGGATTTGAGGTCTGAAGAAAAGATCACCGAATTCTTGGAGAAACTTCAGATAGGCAAAGTGGAGAGTGTAACTTTATGTCGCAATTGGAAAAAACTTGATGATATGATGGACAAGAGAGTGCAAGTCGTAAGGAGGCTTGAAGAGGCATGGACTGTACACCTTGGTCAACAACAACGTCCGAGTGTAGGACCATTACGGACACAACCCTCAGCACCTAATGCGAATTCTGAGGATGGATCGCCAAGTCATGAGGGTGATAATCTGTTAGGAAGCGATCACATCACCTCGTACGATCAGCCAAGACCGACTACGCGAATCTGGTACGGCTTTCTTAAATTTCAAAGCAGGAAAGTAGATGCAATCGACCACTACGAAGAACAGCTACGAAGGCTAGATGATATGATCAATGATGCAAGGAAAAAAGAATACAGCCCTACAGCACTTGCATTTGTCACCATGGACTCGATTCCCGCTTGTCAAATGGCGGTGCAAGCTCTCCTAGACCCAACGCCAATGCAGCTGATGGCAAGGCCAGCTCCCGCACCATCAGATATCGTTTGGACAAATACTTATATACCAAGATCAAACCGTATGATTCGTTCTTGGGCGATCACTATCTTCATTCTTATACTCACCATCTTCTGGCTGATTCCAGTGGCTGCCCTAGCTGGTCTTGTCAGTTTATGCTCAATTCGGCAGGTCTGGCCGGGTCTTGCGGATGTTTTGGAAAGCCATGACATACTTAAGGCTTTGGTTCAGACTGGCTTGCCTACACTTGTTGTCTCATTACTCAATTTGGCAATTCCATTCTTGTATGACTACCTTGCAAATAAGCAAGGATCAATCTCGCAAGGCGAGGTAGAACTTTCCGTCATCTCCAAAAACTTTTACTTTACATTTTTTAATGTATTCCTGGTTTTTACGGTTTTTGGCGCAGCGAGTAAGTTCTGGCCAGTCTTACAGGAAACATTGAAGGACACCACGAAGATTGCCTACACGCTAGCCCAGTCAATATCCGATCTCTCCATGTTCTATACCAATTTTATTTTGCTACAAGCTCTTGGTCTTTTACCTTTCAGACTGCTGGAGTTTGGGAGTGTGTCTTTATACCCTATCACACTTATGGGTGCCAAGACTCCTAGAGATTATGCTGAGCTGGTACAGCCGCCTATCTTTAGTTACGGGTTTTATCTTCCTTCCGCACTTCTAATATACATTCTATGCATGGTCTATAGTATACAGCCAGCAGGATATCTAGTCCTATTATTCGGAATGGCGTACTTTGCTTTAGGTTATTACACATACAAGTATCAGCTTTTATATGCCATGGACCATCCACAACATGCTACGGGAGGTGCTTGGCCTATGATAGTTTATCGTCTTCTTGTAGGCTTAGGCTTCTTTCAACTGACTATGGCCGGAGTGATTGCTCTGAGAAAAGCGTTCACTCCAGCTATACTTGTTGTTCCCCTCATACCATTCACAATCTGGTACAGTTACTACTTCCGTCGAACATTCCAACCATTCATCAAGTTCATCGCTCTGAGGAGTATTAGAAGAGATAGCAATTCAGATATAAACATTGCTGGCGAAAACATCGGCATCGACAGACCTCCAGGACACATTCAGAGGAGAGGCAGCACAGTTGATGAAGCAAGGGAAAAAGGGATGAGATATATCAATCCAAGTCTCGTTGTACCGTATGTCATTTCCAAGCAAACTTACTATTTCATACTGACCATACATAGATTAGAAAAGATCTGGATCTCCAAGGACCCAGAGAGCGAGCCCAATGGTAGCACCCCACAATTAAATCGTGAAGAATCTGCCGCAAGTTCGCTGAGTCTTGGCGATACCCACATTTGGAGAGAGGTTGGCGATGCAAATGTATGATATGATTGTAAACGAAGCGTAAATCCTATTTCTATTATGAGATGGTGGTTGATTAGTTATGGTTCTCAAATTGATGGCATGAATGGCGTTTTGGTCTTATTATTCAGGGGGTGGGTTGGGCCTTCCTTTCATGATTTGACATTGTTTTAATTATATATACCCAGTGTTCTTTCCTTAAAAGTCAATTCTCATTGCAACAGGCTTGATCTCCTGGACATTCTATCTTCTCCCAATTTTTTCAGCTATAACATGCGTGTCTTATCGTTACCGTTCAACATCGTCTTTTCAGAGCGATGACACAAATTTCTGCACCTATAAATCAACTTCTACTTTCTCAGCATTCGTTAGTGAGATTCCTAGATAGCATAAAACAAAGACGCCCTCCTAGTAATGCCAATTATTTCCTATCATTCAACTATCATTAATAACATAGCCGCCCAGTCGGGGGCTGTCGACACAACGTCTTCCCAGATTCTCTTATCAAGAGCGATCGCAGATCACACTTTAACATCTCGTCCATCAGTTGTTAGGGGAATATACTCTTCGATTGCTGTCACATCTCTTTACGAATCCCCGACAAGACATATCATGACCGTTGGAGACGCAGCTAGCACATCGAAAGATGTAGGATTGGATGGTGGGAGTATGGAGCAATGTATTGGTTCGTAATACCTGACTCGGTTGTGAATGGATAATATTAAGGTGGCCCTATGATCTAATATTCACATGTATTTAGATTTTCCGGGCAGGCGACGCTCGTCAACTTTAGGGGTGAATGAAGCCTCCGTGTCCCATAGCTTATCAGATTCAGTAAGGCGACCTTTCTAAAGCAACAATGCCCGTATATCATCAAAGCGTATGCTTCGGGATCTCCCACTAAGAGTCATAAAACTCAGACACTAACTCAAATATCTGTAGATCACTTCAGTTAATGATACAATTGTCGATCCTCAGTTTCCGTACAACCCGTGGGAGCTTTCACAACTCGATGCTGTCCCAAAAAAACCAGGAGAAACGTGATAAAGGAAAAGGAGTCGAACGTGGAAGAACATTAGAACGAGGCCCAAGATACTGTAATCCTCTTGAAAAGGCCGAATCACGACTTAGAAGAAACAAAACAACCATCGAGGTGGATGGTCGGCCCATACGCAGGCGCGATCGAAGTCATACTCTTCATGATAACCCCGATGATCCTGCTGCAATATTAGACGACCAGGTGTTAGAACCACTAAGAGGGATATCTCAACAGGATAGTTTTTCAGAGGTACTTAGCGGACATGCATCTCCGAGCAGTCTGAATGGCTTTCTTGATGCGAAAGAATTAAAGAGTCGACTTCGATCTAGGACTTCTGGAGGAAGTTCTATAAGCTCCACTATATCTCCAATCGAACCACTCACACGGACAGTTACGACGGTTTACAGCAAATCCTCTCTTGTTTCTCCTGAACCAACTTTACCAGTTGAATCATATTCTAATCGTCTGCCTAGTATTGATCGATTAGAAGCATCTGCTCGTCAATCAACATCATTCACGTTCTCAAAGTTACCAACAGAAATCATTCAACAAGTATACAATTACCTCGCACCGGTTGATTTTAATTCAGCCAGACATACATGCCGAGCATGGCTTCTTACCAGTATGGATCGTTCCCTCCTTGAGAATATGATCCGGCGTGGAGGTTGGGAGACTAGTTGTCGACAGGAAATCTCTGATACAAGAAGCTCAACCTTTCAACGTAGCTCCGAATATGAATGGTTCATGAGTAAACGGATTTCAAGGGAATGTGCTCTTGGTCCAGGTTGGACGGGGTCCGGAATACCGGTAAGCCCCAATAACGTTCCACTGGAATCAAAAGATACGCCTTTTTTGCAAGCTTCGACTGTGAATTTCACAGAAGTCGCGGTCCAATATAAGGAAACGAGTCCTGCTGGAACAGTTTTCACGGTGAGTAGTTGTGGAAAGTTCTTGATGGCTGCGAGTGGATGTCTAGTCTATATTTATGAACTGAACAAAAGCCATCGCGAAGTGAACAATTGGTATGAGGTTCAAGCGGGTTCTCTACGTCCAGTCACTAGTATCATATGTCCACACAGAGTGTTAGCATGCAGTATGGATACTTCCTCACATAGGTATGCAATTGCTGTTTTGCTTGATGGGCGCATGGGTCTTGTATGCGATATTTCTCTTAGCAGTATTGCTCCTCCGGTTTCTTCGGATCCCGAGACTTCAGATCTTTCTTCGCCTCATTCAAGTCGATCAGATGTTTCACTCTCTCCAGCAGGCGATTTCCATCATGGCGTCTCATTTCTCGATCGCGTTAGCTTGGATAGCTCGGCTCCTGTACAAAGGGCTGGAAGATCTACGACTGCTTTTGTATTCCCTGGAATAGCTACAACTCGTAGTGATGGTACTTCTCCGGGGGTTGTGCAACGATCGGAATACCACGAAGCCCTTCGGTCAGCGAGTGTCATGAAAAACTCATATCCTTCAGAAGAAACTAGCCCCCACTCTGTTGGAGCAGGAAGTCGATTGCGAAGCAAGCTACCAGCTCGTAAAGTCTCAAACTCGGATACGAGAGAGATGCCAGTAGAAACCGGCCCGCGTTCAATATATCGAAATCTTTGTTCCGAGGACGACCCTCCCCGTTCTGTGGCTATTTGTCCTCAACGAAGATGCGTGGCTTTTGGTTGCTCGGCCGGTATTGAATTGCATTGGGTTGATGCTTTGACCGGACAGGATCTAAATAGATGGTTTCCACTTACTGCTCCAAGTGACTTCTTGTTCTTTTTACCTCCACGGAAAAGTATAGACTCTGCGAAGAAGCTGAGGCTTATTAGTAGTAAGTCAATATCACCTTGCAGACCCCGAAGGAGACAGAAATGTAACTTGAGCATAAAAGTTGGATATGAATCTTCATTCGGATAGCCAACTTGACACAAGATTCACTAATCAATTTATAGGTGCGGCTAGACCCAGTGAATGTACAGCTGTACATGAAAGATCATATGGAAGAAGACCACGAGGTGCTTCATTCTGGCACAGAATTGGGTGGAACGGAAGCCAGGGGGATAATAGCGAGGAAATAGAACATGCTCAGCAGGTGCTAGCACCAGTGGGAAGATTCCGTAGTGATTCAGGTCGAAGAGTTGATCATTCAGATCACTATCGTGCTATACCACTAAGTGATGGGTATCATATTCTGTTTACAGATCCAAGTACAGGAACACTTTGTTTAGGCAGTGATGCACCTGTCGGAGGACCCACTAAATTACTTCGCAAAGTTTGGTTTCAGGGACCAGAAGGTAGAGGCAGTCCAACGGTTTATGCTGGAGGTTCTGATTTAAGCTGGGGAGTAAGAGTTGTGGCAGCATTTGGAAGTTGGGCAGAACAGAGTATCTGGCTGTTCTCCGTTCCTGGAGATGTGTTCCATGCAGCTCAGAGTTCTCAGAATGTGTTGGAGAGCTCTATAACTCATAAACGAAACACTCCTAAAAATTCTAAAAACATGCAATGGCTGGACTGGTGGCCTGATGAGGGACTTCAAGAATGGCTCAATCTTATTCGGCATCCAGTACCTGGTATTATTCCGGGGAATATGTGGCCGGTTAGAATCAAGGGTCAGAGAATCGGTACATGTTCTGGAATAGTTGATCTTGCGGTTGATTCAAACAATGGTATCACAGTTTGGGCTTTTAGTACTGATGGAATTGCCAAGGCCTGGCGTTTGGATGATGGACAGCATAAAGACTTTAGGAAATTGAGTGTATCGAGAGATGGTACCATTCGCGAAAATGTCCCGGATGATTACACCAAAGGTGAAATGAACAACGGTTTCTTCACATCAGAAATCCTTCAACACCGCTCATCGCTCGAACAACAATCGTTCGATGGAGCAATGTCGCCAGATTTAGATGGTACCATCTCTCCTGATATATCAACAATCATCACAGCACGAAGAGGCTCGGGCTGGAGCTATCAAAGCGTTAATTATGATGAAGATGGGGATGTGGTTATGGAAGATGTTTATGGTCCGGGTGTCGACATGCCGGCAGCTTGGTCGAAGCCAGAGAGAGAATATGATGAGGATGAACCGTTGCAAGATCAACAGTACCAGTATTTACAATCGCGCTGGCCGAGATCGTCGATAGGGTATAGACGGTGGTTGGAGAGGGCAGTGGCGAGTGGAGATTTGGCGAGAGTGGTGGGGGCGAGGGGTGTGTCAAGGATTGAAATTGAGATTCGTTAAGTAAACTTGTGTATTGATTATTGTAGAATAGAATGATTGAAGGCGAAGTATCACTTATAGACGAATGAATGAAGTCTATTCGTATACTTGGAGTTCTTTGGAGAGTGGTAGCCGATGTCCATTATTAGAATTCAAATTGAGCAGATGCTAAATTGTACATGATTTGGATTGGTGAGGCGCTTCAAATCGTTTCCTATACACTTTCGTAAGATCACCTAGAGTAATCAAATTATGAAACAATGTGCAGATTCTTTTGCTAGAATTTGAAGTCGGGATTGTAAAGCTGTTGGGCAGAGTATGGATGGATCATCGCTTGTGGTATTTACCGAGACAGAACATTGAATCTCGTTGGCGTTTTCTGTCGAAGCTGAAAACTCGAAGACACTGTGATAATGTGGTAAGCAGGTTTCAATTTCACCAGTTTGATCCGGCAAAATGCAACTTTCTGGTGTATTCTGGCAAAATCTTAAAATTTACAGGTGCAGATTAGATAGTGAAGGTAAGAAGCATCGTAACTTTGGAGTATCAGATTGAAGCCCCAGAATACCAGGATGATATAACAGATTATAAGTATTGATCTTAAGATTAGCAACTGCAGGCATGACACGTGAGATATGCAGATCCTGGAGATGAGTCTCACTAGAACATGTGTATAAACCTGTGAACGAACCTCGATCCAAATCTCAGCATTGCAGAATCGACACCAGAAACATTCAATTTGAAAACGCACACAAAAGGAATCAACCCATGGCAACTAATGTGAAACTTGACACGAATCCCAATACTATGCCACCCCCTTACAGGCTGACAAGGCTCCTGTGCCAGAGTATCTCCCTCCAACCATAGAACCTCTTTCACTATTACTAGCTACTTGGATACCATACCCTCAGGTTATGCGAATAAAGAAACCAGTAGGTTACTTTGCATTCTACTTCCCTCACATTGCTGGCTTACTCTCAGCACAATCTCATGCTATTGGTTTATCTTTTCCACGCCCCAGCTTCGAGCAGCGTCTTGATCCTCATTTGTCTATTTTAGGCGGGTGTTGATTTCTGCGTGGAGCTGCATGTATATGGAACGATTTTCTGGACGCCCACTGTGATCGACAAGTTGCACGATGTAGACTGCGACCTATTCCATAGAATGCTGTCAGTGGACCTGCAGCTCTGGTGTTCGTGGCCATTCAAACAGTACTAGGCGTGTTGACGACCCTTGCGCCACTGCCTCAAGCGGCCCGCGCACCAGCTGCCTTACTTTCCGCTACGCCGATAGTGTATCCTCTATGTAAACGATTCACCAATTATCCACAGCTGTGGCTTGGTACCTCATATGCTTTCGGAGTAGGCGTAGGCGCCGATGCAGGTGGCGTCGACTTTGTGGAGATGTGTGGACGATTAGACACATTAGCAAGTAGTGAGACACGTATACTTTGCTCTCTTGCCTGCTTGTACTTCTTCGTCGTACTTGACACGTTAATATACTATACCATATATGACACCAAGACCCCAAAGACGATTTGAAAGCAGGAGTCAGGGGTTAGTGGTGGCATGGAGAGACAATACCAAAAGGAACTGTGCGATTTTGGCAGTAGTTGAGATTGCTTTACTCGTAGCGGCTAGCATCCTTGGAAGGTTGACTGCGAGCTTCGATATATTGGCGGTTGGCGGCACGACATTAGTGCTCATCACGATGTTGTACTTGGTAAAGCTCGAAGATCCCGCAAGTTGCATGTCATGTTTTGAATGGCTCATCTGGGGAACTGGTGTTACCTTATCGTTGGGCTTGTTGTCTTCTTGAGAAGAAACACTGAGATGCAATACACAAGTAGATTTCGACCGGCTTTCTCTTTGAAATTGGATGCTTATGTTTGCGAGACATTCGAATGCTGGCAGCGCTAACCTCTATATTTAAGGGTATCTATGGATCCTACTAGAACAATATTGGGTGAGAATAGCAATTAGAACATCCAGATGTTCCTTTTTTTGTCACTATCAATCGCGATCATTGATCTCCCTTGAATTCAGGATATGGAACGATCCCTATGAAGGTACACCAGCAAACTGTGGCCGCGCAAATTATATATACTAAAAAGGAATTTTTTGTAATAAAGCGAAATGTTACAGAATATCCAGTCAGTCTTATAAGCATTGAATATTGAATACCCAGAGCCTGCCTACGGGTATTTTCAAGGATGCAGAGTAAAGCCATGCCATCAAGAAAATAGAAATGTTCATGAAGAATGTTCAGGGTGAAACGAATCCCCGCAACCACGGAATAGAGATCGCGACGTCAGAGAGCCCAGTCTTGCTTGCTTGCGCAAGAAAGTCAATCTAGGAACGTTTGTAATGTACAAGCAGATTGAAGCTGCATAGTACATCAATTGTCATGTTTGTACGTTCCCATCAATGCCCCGAAGGCGCGAGAAAGAAGCAATGGAGTGCGTGAAAGAAAGTTTAGGTGCGCACTAGTCGCATCATTGTCTGTAATGCTGACCTCATTGTAAAGAAGAAAGTACGTGATACGTGTGTATACCAGTGATTAATGGTGAAATGAATTTATCACTTACTAATAAGAGCGTGAACGATCTGTATGCTTCAAGTGCTTGCTAGTAGTCTCCGCAATATGTGAGACCTTGGAACTCTGATCTAACTGGCTGAACCTTTGTTGCAGCAGGCTAAAATCAGATCGCGGAAGAGATTTGATTAAAAAAAATAGCAAGGTCTGACAGTAATAGAGGAAACATGTATTGAGTAACCACCGAAAGTTTGCCGTGATTTGAATTCTCGACCCTACAAAACACCTACCAACATCAAGATTTCGCCAGTCTCGCTGCCTTGAACCTACTAACTTTCTTTGGACCCCCCTCTTCTTCCGTAAATGGTACAATCTCGCCTTCTTCCTCGGGACCAAAGCCACCTTGTTTGCCAATGATCTTGTTTCTCATTCGATGATATTCAGTCGCAACTTCTTGGTGTAATAATTGCGGATCAAACTCATCTGGTGGGGCTGCATTGGTGTCAAGTGGTACATCTCGTTCGATAATGTTGGGTGCGAGTGTACGGTTCGCGGGACCCGTGGGAACTTCTCGGGGCTTTTCGATGGCCGGTGCGAATTGAATTGGCTGAGAGAAGGGCTTTGGGGTAGCTGGAGTGGCAGGGAATAATTTGAGGTGAGAAGGATTTGTGGTCATCGAAGTGGTGGACGAAATGCCATTAGTGCTATTGCTTAGCGGAGCTCGAGATGTCTTGAAGCGAGAAGCCTTCTTTTGGACAGGTGGAGCAGAAGAAGATGGCCCTGGAGCTTTTCTCTCAATGATATCTCCCACGGGGGCAGTTTTCATCTCGGCCTTTGAGAGAGAGGTGGCTGGTTTATCGGGGGCTGGTGAAACATCTAGTTCCTCTTCAAATCTGACGCTTTTCTTCGAAGAGTCATCAGAATTACCAACATTGTAATCCTTCGATTTTCCCTTGCCAGATGTTGTGAGGATTCCCTTGCCAGAATCTTTGGTATCTTCGCCACTAATAGATATCCGTCCAATTCCTTCTTGGACCATGCCGTAATCATCCGAACCCTTTCCAACGTTCTCCATCATCCTCAGACCAAGCTTTTCTTCAAGTTCAATCATACGTTGACGAAGCTCATCATCCATAACTTGACGTGTCGATTTCCCGAATTGATCCTCATCATCGCTATCAGAATCGTCTGCATAGTCTTCGGATTCCCAGTCACTCCCATCTTCTAGATTGATTTCCGCCACTACAGATCCAACTTCTGACATTCCATATTGTAACATATCTCGTCGTAAAGCAGCATCCTCTGGAGATTCGTCGGTAGGTATGACGGCAGGCTCAAATGAAAGCTTTTCCGATTCTCTTGCAGATTGCATAATTTCTTCAAGGCGCTTTGCGGTTGGAGAGATCGTTGTATTTGATTTCACGGACTCTGTTTTTGAATCGTCTGTAAACTTCACACTCTTCGGTCCAGGCTTTGAAGATGTAGTGGGTGGATTAGATTCCTTGACGCTCTTTGCTTCGGTCGCCTGGGGGGTAGTGTCGACTTTTATTGAAGCTTTGCTGGCTGGTCCATCATCTTCTACCTCTTCCACGATACCCGATTCATCCTTTGATACCGGCTCTATTATTCCAGCTTTATGTAGTACCTCTAATAACTGTGGTTTTACATTTCCTGGTGTTGATAGTCTCGAAGAAATAACATTTCCTTCATCATCCAACTCTTCGATGATTTCTGTTACAGGAAGTCCTTCCTCATTTCTTACGTCCGGAGTACTAATAATCGTTGCTTTCGCCAGTTTTTCCTCTGCGGTTTCGATTTGCTTCTCGATCGTTCTGATATTTTGCTGAACATAATCTAGTCGTCGATCTAACAGATTCACAACTTGTTCGGCGCTTCTTTGGGTACTGGTACCAAGTATATCTTCGATTTCTCTTCCCTTGACCAAATCGGCTTCGTAATTTCGTGCGAGAGAGATGAGTTCCTCGCGATTTGGGGTAGGTTCTGCCGAAAGAATTTCTTCTTTCAAGCCATCATATTCAGCATCCCACGTCTGCCAGTGCTGTAGCGATTTTCGAAGTTTTGCGATATTATCCTCAAGTTGTAGGCGATACTTCTCCAAGTCGAGAAAGCTATCTTTTGTTGCTTGCACCATATTTGGGTAGATTCCTTTGGGGGAGACAGTTGCTCCAATTACATATGTAGGTAGGTAAAGGACGAGGCTACGGAGGGCTTTGAAAAGGCACTCGTGCTTTGTGTTGCTTGCTTCCAGCTTCATTTTTTTCTCTCTTTAGAAGTGGCTCGGGAGCGGCACGCGCTAACGCTTTTTAAACTAGGGTTTGATTGGACAGACCAGTTTAATAAGTCAACCACAATATCTTTCAGGCGTGATCATCCATAACGATATAGGTAGGTAGGACTACCTACCTACAAAAGATGGGATTTATGTACGGTAAACCTGCAAGTGCTGGAATCATATTGGTGATTGAATAAGTGTATTTTGATTATTTAAGACCAAAGTTTTAACTTCACTAGAAGTCCCCCAGCTGCAAACCGTGGAAGCTTTGAAATAAATTTTTGCCTCTACTCATCACCCACTCTCTCACTCTTTCATCATAATGCTTGGAGCCGATCACTCCCAGCATAAAAATCCTGCCGTGGTGCTGAAGTACGAGGTTCTTGCGAGTGCAGGTGGTTGAAGACGATTGCATGAAAGTAGTCATCGGTATGACTGTATGATTGTTGGTGAGAATCATTATTAGCATGTTCTACCAGAGAGTGCCATATTTTGAAGGCGAGAAAAGACGACTTGGAAATATAGGTCGACAAATGAACCAATGTCATTTTGGGGACCATAAGTTTGTAAGAATTTATAGGCAAAGTTTCCAAGTATCACAACAGACGGCGCCAGAGGGAAGACTTCCTGAAGCTTGCTCTTGATTAAAACCTTTCATCCCATCAAAGGTGTTCCATAAATTTGATTTGAACTCTTTCTTGGAAGGAATAAGAAAGAAGAAAATCTTGCGAATTCAAGTCGACATGTCTCAACATGTCTCAACTCAAGAATAAGACTGTGGATTTCTATGGATGTTGAAGTCAAATGGTGCATGACTCCTTCACTTCTCGATGCCGATCGTGGCTGCTCAGATCAGCGAATTACTGACATCCATATGGCTTGTGGTAGTGGTTTTGAGAACATTGCAAATGACTTCATAGAATATGGAGCAGACATTGAGTCAGAGGTAGAGGTAGTAGACACTAACAACTTCAGAGTTAGAGTTGGTGAGGAAAAGTTAATGTTCGCATCTCGGTCGAAAATTCCATTACAAATGGCAACCTGAGTATATGCAATTACTGTTACGTGTTGGAGCTGAACTAAATCATTCAAATTGTTACGGTACGGCCCTGTGTAGTGTCACGAAGTGCGACAGATTCGAAGTAGTCGAGGAACTTCTGGACTCTGTTGCAAGAACTCTTCGGCATCAATGGAAATTGGAATGCTTTGCAGTTGTTTATCGATACGTTTTGATTAAGGGCTTTAGATTATGGTATAATTACTGATTCAGGGCAGATCAAACAAGCAAATGGTAGGCTCCGATACTAATCAATTCGAGGTTGAATATGTTACAGATTTTGGAAGTTGGGAATTGTTCCGTCAGTCCACGCACCCCTTATATTAACGAGAAAATGTAATTCAAAGTGCCTAGTAGTATGGACAGGTAGAGTAGATGTGGAACATTCCGATTGGATGCTAAGATAACAATACTTGTAGTCAGAAACCTCAACGAAATTGCAGTCGATGTTCAGGCCGGGCTGAACCTGAAAAGAAACAACAGTTTAGTACGATAGGTGTCTTCCGAATCGCAGAGTATGTACCGACTAGTGTTGGTCTTCATCGATATCCGAAATTGACGAAGCATGCGATGATTCCATGATTAAAGTAGCTTAGAGGTTGGAGCGCAGCCCTAACCGACATAAAATGACACCCCCCTGACTGCCTAGGCAAATGGGTTCCGGAGCGATTTCGTTGAACAATGGTATCCATCCCATCGGAGAAAAGTCGAATTCTCATCAAATTCATGGTATTCTCACATGGGATCGTGCATTTTTGTCCATAAATTTGTTCCATCGCGGCCAAGACTATGATAACGCTACTTCGTACTCACGCAACTAATGCTTTTTTAAACCCCAATATCTCGCAAATCACTAAATCTAAACACCTTTCGGTCCCCCTCCTCCACTATCCCACATCTCATTCCAACACAAAACTCAACACACTACGCCCATGATATTCTCACATAGCTTACTAACAGATTTCCTTCCCACACACAGCACCCCAACCATTCTTCTTGATATTGTCACGTGCGCTAGGGCATCCCTGCAGCCATGCAAAACCCATGCATTAGCCTTCTCTTCACCGCCAGAATTCAGGAGGTTGGGATGGCACTGATCCTAGAGGCGTTCGCATTTAGTCCACCTGTCAGCTGTGAGAAGATGCTTCTGCAAACCGTGCAAGCTTACTTTTCTTTTCCCAGACGAGAAGACAGAGTCAAGAACCCTCTTTTCTTCCTCCACTTCTTTTTTTGTCTTGTATTTTTTGCAGAAACTGGTGGTTCGTTCGCAACTCCACTCCTCCACGAGTTTGTTCCTTCTTATCGATTATTATCGATTGAATTGATTGCGGGAAGATTAAGGGACAGGACGTTATTTGGACATAGCGGCGGACGAACAAGAATCGTAGCTCTGAACCCCTCATAACCTGGTGATACGAAACGAGTATCGGTTACCTTACTTAGGTATCCGTAGGGTTTGAGGTTACATTATTCACTTACTATAATTTCGCTCTCAATTGCTTCTAATCCTAATTCTCTTTCGCAACTCTCAATTACATCAACAATTCTTCAACTCCTCATCTTCTCTTCACACCAAAGTAAAAACTCCAAAATCTCGCAAAGATGGGTTGGTTTGACGGCGCCTCGGAATCAGGTCGCTCCCACTCCTCAAAACGTCACTCCTCACATTCGCATTCCAGCAAAAAACGCCCTTCCTCCTCTCATTCTACCCATCACAACAATTCTTCTGGGATTCTGGGAAGCGTTCTAGGAGGCACATCTCCCAAATCCCCCAAATCTCCCAAATCTCCCAAATCAAGTCATAGCCATCGAGAGCGTTCCAGAAGTCGTACGCGAGGCACCGACAGCATTTTTGGCAGCGGAGATGCGAAACATAATTCTAGTCGGAGTAGTTTCTTCGGTATGTATTTCTGTTCATTTTTACAATCCTATTATCTTTTTCGTGATTCAATCTATCTAATATCCATATTCTCATCGCGCAATTGAATAAAAAACTAATACACTTCCCCTCTAGGCATCTCTCGCTCCACATCCCACTACAAGCGTTCTCCTCGTCCCAACTATCTAAAACGCATCTATGCCAAGTTGCGCGAGCTCCTGCGCGATCTCATCTATTACATGAAGCGCCACCCGTTAAAAGTATTCATGCTCGTGATCATGCCTCTCATAACAGGTGGAGCGCTAGCCGGACTGTTGAAGAAATTCGGGGTTAGGCTACCTGGAGGATTAGACAAATTAATTGGCGGCGGAAAGGGAAGTGGAAGTGGGGGAAGCGGATTTTTCGGAGGAAATGGGGGAAAGGGAGGTAATGGAACTTACGAGTATGAGAGGAGTAGCGTGAAGAGCACTGGAGGCGCAATGGGAAAATTGGGAATGCTGGCGGGCGGCATGGAAGGAGTAGGAGGAGCGATGAAATTGGCGAAATTGTTTATCTGATGTGGAGTTTAAAATGATTGCAAATTGGATGAGATATGTGTTCACATGACGTGACGAGGCTATCTTGATCGGGATGATTCGGCGTTGGATATATTTGGGTTGATTTTTATACTTTTCAGTTTTTCTCTTCTTGCTTACCTTTCTTCCCAAAAGCCTGCGTTATTTTGCAGATATAGATACCATGATTAGGATGTTACTGTGTGACTAGTTTTAAATACAAAATATTTTGGATGTAGATGGAAGTCATGTTGTGATTAGATGAGTGGAAAGTGTGAGTGATTTTGACCACGTGGGACGAATCACCTAGGTTATCTCTTCAGACTCAGGACGTTTGTTCTCCAGCGGGCCTGATGAGTCCCATAAGCTATTCACAGTAAGAAGCCTTTAATTTTCCCCGATGAGCATGAATGAATACATTTTCAAATACTGCCTGGATTAACTATCCGCTTACCCTGTCTGGTTTCTTCTCCGTTAGCGGTTCTGCCCCTTCGCACATCCCCTGATTCACCTTGCGAGGATGAAAATCCGAGCTCATTTTACTGCTTTATTGGATATCTACATACATAATTTGACCTATCCACGCTACCTGACCGTCATATAAATCTCCTATTCGCTTGCTGTATTGTATCAACTGTACCCAATACCCAATACCCTAATCCTGTAAACCTCTAACGCCTGCTCCATTATCAATAAGTTCAACGCAAAAGATATCTCTTCAAACTCGTGACAAATCATAATTCATGAGCCTACAGCATGACTGAAAACCTTTGCGGCGAGCTGACTTAATAGTCTTGCTTTGTCACCTTGAGGAAGTTCCTATGCAGCACACATATTAGCATAGTTTTCTTTTATCCTGTCCCAGCCTCAACACCTAATCTTAACTTACCTGGAAAACAGAATATACACTCTTTCCTCTCGCATCCCTCACAGCACCCAATCTATTCCCTGCCACAGCTCCGGCCAACATCCCCGGAAAATTCGCAACGATAAAACCCATAGCCCCTCCACTCAATCCACCCACCATACTCCAAAACTTCCCAGTAGGAGAATTATTATTCTCTGCCATTCCCTCTTCTCTCAACATCTCTTCAAACACATCTCCAAATTGTGCGTCTTGAAACTTCTCTTCTTCCTCTGGATTCTTCGCTTTCGAGGAGAAGCCAAAACTAGACCAAGGGAATCCACCAGATCCAGCAGATGGATCGGGAATTTCTTCGTCGTCATCCATAGATGTAGAGGCTGTGGAGGCTCCAGAGCCAAATCCATGGTATGTACGGGCAGCGTCGTAATCGCGACGACGAGTGGGCTCAGAGAGGGTATAGTATGCGTCGTTAATTTGTTGAAATTTACGGGTTCTTTCCGCACGTTCGGGAGAGTCTGAGGCGACCCGATCGGGATGAGTTTTTAAAGCTGCTCTATTGAGGGATGAAGGTTAGTTGGTGGTCAGGAAAGAGGGGGTATGGGAAGAAGTTTGTACTTTTTGTAGGCATTGCGGATCTGTTGCTGGGTTGCAGTGGATGGTACGCCAAGAACGGCATCTAGCAAATGAAAACTATTAGCATGTTGGCTACCTCAATGGGTGAGTGGAAATATCTGAACGTTAGAACTCACAATAATCTGAAGGTAGTGTCATTCTTGTGGGTTCGAAAATGCTAATAGGGTGCAGTACTTAAGAATATTCTAGGGTTTCGTGCAGTATTATAATCTTCAATAAGATAACTATGGTAATATGTAGAAAGGTGTTCTAGGTATGCAGAATCAACCGCAAATATGAATATGAGAGGTGGAAAGGACACCTCGAGATTCAAGAAACGATAAGTGATACCTGGACTCACTTGACTGGCTGCTGCGTCATAGGTGTGGCGTAAGGAAACGTGGCTGACACGTGAAAATCTTGGTATCAATACATCAATACTCGCGTGCATGCAAACAAATTTTGGGCTAGTTCAATTAAAATTATTTGTAGAGAAGAGCTGGAACATCAAGCTCTACTTTCTCTTCTATAAACTGAGACGATATACTTATTAAAGTGTACACCAAGTAATATATTTCTCATCTGAGCTGCAAGAAAAAGAGGCTTTGATTAATCTTTCCCAAATTTTGTTATCAGATACAGATCTCATTTTCTCTAGGAATGAGTAGGGATTTTGTGTATGGATGATATAAGCATGAATGGAGTCGTTCATACTAAATCGTTACATAGATGCTATTGTTTCAGTGCAAGAGCAAGTCTAATACCTCAAACTAGATACTCATCGCGTCCTCTTAGGTAACTCTTTAACTGATAATCTGCCGCGTATAAGACCATCCATTGATAACGCCATCTTTTCAGCGAGAGCGGGCCGAGAGAAAACCCTTTGAGTACCCCACTTCGCATACTTTTCGTCCTCAGTTTGCCCTCTACTGTATCTCACATACCTTGTAGTCCAACTTTCTAACTGTCGTTGGTTCTGTCGATCCTCTATCCCGTGTTCGTCAGATTTTACAGCTTCTCAGAATGTCCCCTGGTTGTAAAATCCACCTCCTTGACGGAGGTCTTGGCACTACCCTCGGTGATTCCCACCAAGTACAATTCACAGAAAAAGAACCTCTCTGGTCTTCTCAGCTACTCATTCCAACTCATCCTCATGGACCTAAAACACTCCTCGCTACCCAAAAGTCCTTCGTGGATGCTGGTGCTGATATTTTGCTAACTGCAACTTATCAAACGAGTTATGAGGGATTCGGAGGATCAGGATATGCTGTTCATTCACACTCATCTTCTAAGTCGGGAAATGAAAATGGGGACAAGGAAGAAGTAAATAGCATTATGAGAAGCGCTGTAGACATCGCTTCCGATGCATTTTCCACCCAAAAAGATTCAAATGGCAAAATTGCACTAAGTCTTGGTGCGTACGGTGCGATCATGACTCCGGGACAAGAATATACCGGAAATTATGATAATGACCATAAATCGAGCGAGCAATTGAGCTCATGGCACCATGAGAGAATTTCGGTTTTCTCGAGAGATCCAAAATGCTGGGATAGAGTTGATTATGTGGCATTTGAAACCATCCCATTATTGGAAGAAATTGAGGGCGTCAGAAAATCCATGGGAGAAGTTGAAAAGTCAAATGGTGGAACAGCTGGAAGCAAGCCATTTTGGATTACATGTGTATTCCCTGGCGAAGGAAATTGCTTACCAGGTGGAAGCTCTGTGCAACAAATTGTGCAAGCAATGTTGTGCAACAAAGATGGTTCTCCAGTACCATTTGGAATCGGTCTGAATTGTACCAAAGTCGGAAAAGTTGAATCTTTGATACTGGAATTCGAGCAAGAAGTCAAGGCTTTGATCGAGAAAGGGGATGTTAGTGAATGGCCATCTTTGGTAGTATATCCCGATGGAACGGTTAAGGGAGAAGTCTACAATACCTCTACTAAAGTATGGGAAATCAGAGAGCCACCCGGAAAGGAAGGCTTGCAGTGGGATGAGGCGGTTCTTGAGATTGTTAAACAGGCAAGGGATAGGGGGTTGTGGAAGGATATTATTGTAGGAGGTTGTTGCAAAACTACGCCCAGGGAAATCAGGAAACTAAGGGAGAGGATCGATCGGCTTGATATGGAATAATCGAATAAATGCAATGAGAACAACTCTTACACTCAATTAATCTCGAAAGGGATCCGAGAACGTTCTGAAGATGAGCCTGCATCTAACTTAAATTTGGATGTCGTCGAAGCTTCTGTGTTGATTTCCGTGTTTCTTGACAATGATACAGCGAATCCTTCTTCGGCAATTTTTTGAGCCAATCAAAACCCTTCTCGTCAAGTTCTCTCGCCACCCCATGTTGTAAGCTTCCCTTTCGCTTAAGGTATAGCATACCTTTTCGCCTGATTCCTATCAAGAGACACCCCCGCCTTTCCTCAACCACCACCGTTGACCTTAATCCTTCTCGGCGCTCTACTCTTCATCACCCTCATCAATGCGTTCTTTCAAAATCGCGATATCCTCAATTTCAATATCTAGGCTCCAATCACCTCTGGTTCGATTAGCCTCAGAAGTGTTTGTTGATCTGTCCTCGCGGGCACTTGATGTCTGACTTCACCTTGCGAAGATAATCCCCAAAGTTCATAACTACTCCACCAACTTCCCCAATTGTGATACTCTCATCCAGTGCTCCAACATGGGCCAGGTTATAAGATCTGATTTGTGCTTCCCAAAATCCCAACCACTAGACACGAAGCTGTATCGCTGAACTTAGTTAGAGTTGGGAGGGCTGCGATGTTTCTTTTTTTTAAACTCAATCCTTCAATTCTATGGCGATTGAAACAATTGAGAGAAAACAATGTACAGTACAAATAAGTATTATTACAGTCAAGGTCGAGTCACCGCGTAAGGTGCGACATGTTGCAACTCGTGTCTCCCCTTAATTTTGTTCTGAAGCTCATCTCTTCTCGGCGATTTTTTGCGGAAGGATGTATGAGATCTTTGCTATCTTGACGTGGATTGTAAAACCGGTAATAAAGCAGAGAAAGGTTGCAACTAGCGGGCCTAGTCAACGACAATTCAATTCTATGCCCGTTATTCAAAAATTGACATTGCTCACTTAAGCACTCTTTATTCCGGAAATTCTTCCCGGAAGATAAGATCACGTTTTTGGATGATATTGTTGGCTTTGCAGGTGGCTAGCCGATTCAGTTTCTTGCTCAATTCCTGAACTCAAAGTCTAGACAGTACAGATATCTATTCTAAATAACTTCAAAACACCTAGAATTTTGAATGAAAGTACCAATTTCCTCGAATTTCGTTTTCAATATACACTTCTACCCGCGGGGTGTTTTGGGTTTCTAAGAGTCGATTTCCTCTCAGTGAGTACTCAATTATGACACCTCGAACAATGAAAAGTATAAGGTCGTTGAGAGCTTTGCTAGATTCTTTTACTTTTCCGTAACAGCTATTAAACTTATACACTGATAGCAGGCGTCCTGACAAATGCTTTTCCTCCCATCGTTTGCGGCTTCAGGTCCCCATTCATGATCTGTCTAATCCTCCACTCACCCCACTCTCGTACGGATTTTGACTGATCAACTTCTTCGTTTGCCAAGGGTGGAATTCCACTACCCTTGAGCCTTTTCATACTCCCATCATTCTCACACCGGACCAAATATGCTAAGCTCCTTCTAACATGCGTTCCTTGCTCACCGGGAGGTGTTATAACTCTGTGTAAAGCACTACATAAGACACCGCCAGTACGTTCGACCAAAGTGTCTCCCAAATTGATCACTGCACAGCCAGGCTGTGGCTTTATGTATAACCAATTCTCATTCTTGTTTTCGGCACCTGCAGGGAGGATTTGAAGGCCGCCAACAACATTGAACAGCATGGTTATCAAACCGACGTCGGTATGACTGGCGAACGCCACACGATGGTCAACAACCGGCTGGGGGCGTGTGTATACCATGCGAAGGGATGTATCTGAGCGCTTATCAATTGGACAAGTAGAAGCTAAGGTTCCTGACGGGAGTCCAAGGTGATTGTCGAGATGAGAAAATACCGCGCAGATCCCAGAGTGTGCGCGGCGGAAAAAGGACTGAACCGAAGATCTGTTTTCAACGAATGGATGAGGATCAGGTTTCGGATTTGGCTCGTTACCAAGTGCGTCGTCCTGGTTGACGTTGTAAACCTCAATGGCGTCGACCTTGCCATTCCCAGTCTTCAGAGTTCCAACTGGTTTGTAGCTGAATACGAGGTCAGTTCATGTTGCCTCCGAGATGAGAATACGCTGTACTTGTGTACTTACCCTCTGAGATCCCGAGGGGGGTCGCTCACATATTTCATAAGCTCACTCTGCTCAAGATCAAAAGTAGCATTGCTGATCTTGAACATGGATTCGGCATCTTTCAGAAGTGCCTCTCCTTCTTCAGAACCACGCAGGTTGAGTAAGAAAACACCATGCTCCCTACAAGAATCGAAGAGCTTTTCCGATTCGGAAGAGCAATTGCTCTGCAGCGCTTTGTATGAGATTATAGGGATTTTAGCTATTGGAACATCGTTGGGGAAGGGAGGGGACTGAGCAAAAATCTCGTCGGTAGGCATGGTGGCTAATAAAACAAGCAGAGTAGAGCGTTCAAGATAGTACTGGAGAATTGGACTGGGTTACTATCGGTTGGGATTTTTATGTTCTTACAAAGTATTCTGATTAACTTTCCCACATATTGGGTGCAGCCCTAAATATCACTTTGGAAGCCAACGCCAACCTGTTTCCCATCTTGATCATGCTACTGGTTGTTGCCACTCCTTCCTCTGGCAATGCTCTTACCAAAAACCTCACCGATACTAACGGTACCAACGGTGCCAAAGTTTAGTCAATTTTTCGGAAATATAATTGCATTAGCTAGATGAGGGTGGCATCGTTGCAGCAAATCGACTAATAAACTTCATCTGAAATTCAGCGTCTGAAGAAACGCAATTCGGGTTGATTGGCTTTATGCGGGCCCAGCGGAGAAAAATGCGTTCCAAGCTGTCGGAATACTGACGTGTAAAACGGTTACAGAGATCATATCCCATCCCACTCTCATGCATACTACGTACGTGGCATATCCGGTGATAGAGTGGGTGGGGTGAGAACATCATGCAGTTTAGCATTCATTCTTCACGTGAAGAAGGTTGATAGAATGAATTTGTTCTTTTGCCCCGGCATATCTTCTATGTACTTACACGTTGGTAAATCCATCTAACACAACTAGTTGCTTGAAAAACGTGGAATAAATTGCATGTCTTAGTTAAATATGTGGGCATGTGATGTTTTTCCGCAGAGACGAGTGTTGGTTAAGTGTATCAAGGAATTAAGTATCTTAAAATATTGGCATTCGTCATTGAATACCGCTCCATCTTACGGGATCACATTTCCTTTTAAAGGCGACTGCATATCCGTACATGTGAGATGGAGGAGTTTGATCTGAGAAACTGAAATCTTGTCCTAGAGTCCAGGTGATCATAATCATTGAATTTCGATGATAGGCTGAATGAAGGTAATAGGATTTTCTAAAGTAATCTTACATTTAAATATCATCCAACGCAAAGTTCCGCATATGATTTCCTCAGCTTGTTATGAACATCAAGATAGTGGGAGATGCGTTCGCTTGTTTATCGGCTTATCCCCCCTTCTGTCTGTGCACGTAAAATTTTTCAATTAAAGCTTAGGTACTCCTAAATTCTTATCCTTGATACTAATTAGCGAATAGACCATAACATCAGTAACACAATAAAATATCGATTAGAGGTAGTAGAGTGTAAGATACTAAAATGAAAATGAAATGAAAATGAAAACTTGAGGAAACATCTCCTAGTAATTCTCTTGATTGAACTCACCGCACAATAATATAATAGAGCTTATAGACAGTAATAATATAATGAAAGTTATCCTCTTTAATATTCATTTGAGTAGCATGTATTATAGTCAAGAGAATTAAAGCTCTCTGTATTTCATCTTCTAGTCTCAGTAAGCTTTCGTATTTCTACTTTCTAATCAAATTTGAATAGAACTCTATAATAAAATAATAAATTAAATGCTATATCTATCAAGATAGAGTTTTAAATAAAGAAGATGAGCTTAGAGTAAACTAATCTTCTATATATATATTTATTTTTATATATGTGGCTGTAGAGCTCTATGACTATGATATCGTTAATATCGCTTAAATCTATAGACCTTAGTATCTAATTATCAAAAAGCTCAGTTAGATATACTATAATATCAATTTTCAATCATCGATATTTACCTATGTAACTTCTTCTCGTATTCAATCTGAACATGAACCTTTCTATATGAGACTATCTAGACTTCTATACCATCATTTAATTCCGTCTTATATTTTGGTTCTTCTGTATAAATATAACCGAACTACTGCTGGTCGACATGGGTCGCGGAACCGACGACATAGTAGATTATTGGATCTTACTAATGCTGTATTTATTGCTTGCTATACTAAGGTCTTAAGTTCGATTGCATATTAGTGCTGGGAATAGAATGATATCCTGATCGTATTCGCCGAAGAAAGATGATCTCTGTAGGCGCGGTAATTATGAATAACTTAAAGTTAGGAACCCTAGTGAGTGTATGAAATGATAGGGTATTTTTCTACTTTCAAATTTTACAACAGATGTATTCTCCAATTGGTTGCTGTCAGAATCCATTGTTTGATTGTTCGGTTTGTAATGAATCTCTAAGATAATCTTCAACACATTTCTAAAAATTTGTTAGGTCGATTTTTGCATCGTCCTATCCGTGCATACATTCACCGACGAGCTTATTGATCGACTTTATATTAATAAATCCTGCAATTCAACAAGTTGTAAAAGGAAATGTAGATTGTCTCTCAAATGCAACAAAATGAAGCCTGTATGTCCTCAAATATGACTTCTTATCTAAGTATTAGTTGTTGCCTATTCCCTCTGGGTCAATTTTTATATCGGCTTTCCAATTATACAAATCAAGAATGACTAAACTTTGAAATTGAAGTTGACCCTACTAGAGACTATGCCTTTCACAATTGCAGTCACTTTGGCCGTCATACTGGTGAAATTCATCCGCTACATATCCCGAAAGAAGTTGAATTCGCAGATAAAAGGCTATTCAATGGCATAACCTAGTGTTTGTGTTAATGCCGTTGTTCATACCAGCTTCAATATTATCACTTCTTCATGCTCGACGGTCTCACTCGGTGTAATTCTCTGGAATATGAGTCTTAGAACTAGATGAAGTTCGAATCAGTGTTCATCTGAGTGTGAGCCTAACAGCAACGATATCTACGACTTTAAGAAGGATTTACACATCATCAGATCTCACTGTCTTCAAGGATTTCACTTGTAAATAACTTCACATACCTTGTAGCAGCTAATCTAATTCATCGCCTGCATTGAACGGCAAAGAAAGAGAAATGCCAAACAAATGAAAAATCCCGACCCTGATTGGTCTTGAATCTGTCATTTATTAAAGTTTTGTGCTGTTCCAGATAACGAGTCCAATGTGCCCGTTATGATCACTTGCAAATCCATGTGGAAAATTCTTTTTCGTGGTGTTATACTGTATAATGCAGGCATTGCTTTATTCTTGTGTAAAAGATGAGGCAAGTTTGATGATCACTGTTGCTGGACGTTGAGAATTACATGAATTCGCTTCCAATGGCTCAGAGATCCAATAAAATAGCCAGAACACCGATGATAGTGGTGATGAGAACTCGAAAGCATCTCGCAAACCGGATTGAACGTGTTGTTTCTTGTATGTATGCTACAGTAGTACAATCTTATTAATCTTCGATGGCACTTACTTCTAGACAATATGTGCTCCGGGACGGTCACAATTGACCGAACTTAGAATAGAATGTATCTATTTGTTTCTTTTAAGGTTGCAATCTATCTCCCCAGTGGATGGGGCAATGTAACCCGTTCAATTATTTGTTCTAACGAGTTTCAGACAATAAACTGCAGCTCATTCTCTGTCCGACTTTTTGAAGCTGAAAAGAGAGATTCATCAGCCTTTCTGCGCCATAAAGGTGGCCCTCTACTCTGAGTGTTGGTGATCAACACTTGATCTTCTGTCACCGCTACTATCGTTATCATCCATCAGTAAAGTAGGGGTGAGCCTAGACCAAGGCTATTACTTCATGTTTCAATTGCCCAGAATGTTTATGCCAATTGATGAAAGGGATGAGGTAAAAGTAGCTTGGAAACTCGTTGCGTTCCTTCACATAATAAGGCAGACTAATCAAAGACGTGTCTATGTGTTTGCAGCTTCTCCATAGTACGCATTCTAGTTTACTTTACTTCGCCTTTATTTGTGGTCAATTTGTCAAATTGTAGATTATCGGCAGTTCCCTTGTGGGTGCTCGCGTGCTATACTGGAGTTCATCCAAACTACGATATCTACATCAATGATCATGCCTCTATCTTTGTTCCGCATGTAGTTTAAGCCCTAATGATTGAAGAAGTATGAAAATCATTGAGTATGTGCCCCACGTGTTGAGGCGTATTGCATTTTGTATTACGCATTCTTATATGCGATATCGAATACCATATCACGGAAATTATTGATATTCTCATATGATACTATACACTACTAAAAAGATGTGGAAATACTGGGTTTCAATAAATTCGAGTAAATTCCAATGAAGATAGCTTCACTATCGCTGACTGAGGAATGGATCTACTGAATATCATATCTTTATGTTTAAAGAATGTGACTACAACACTTAGGAATTCATAAGCTTCTAGTACTTTAGGATATTATTAGCTTCGTACCATATAGTTTATACATATTGCAGCGTATAATGCAATAATTCATATACCCCCAATGTTTAGTATGGAAGGCTTGAACATCAGCCACCACAGTATGGCATGATGCTTCAACCCTGTAATCTCAGGGGACAAGCGACACGCGGCACAAATACAATCACTGCTGCGGCCAACTTCATCCAAAGCTTCAGTCCCAAAATTACCAAGACTATAACTAGGTAGGTAGTACTACTTCACTGTCAAGAAGCAGTGTGGCTACCAATAGTTCACATCCAGTGACATCGACGTCTATATAAGGCCTATCCCGATCCACCGGGCAATGTGGACGGAATGGAGTCTTACACACTCTGAACCGATATGTTCGCTAGTAAATTACGTAATCCAGCACGGTAGTTACTGTACGCCGCATGTAATAAGAGAGAAATTCCATCCCAGCCCTGGGGTAATATGCGTTTTAAGCTTTTGGAGTGACATCCATCCAATGTAGCTTACGAAGCCAGGGAGAGAGGTGTAGTCGAATGTAGCTCAGGAAGGCTTTGCTTGAATTTCTCTTAGTTTCGTTTTGACAAGACGATCATCTATTTTTGTTTCTATACCTTGAGCTAATCTTACAGGTCGACCTGTTCGTCTGTACATGACGCGGCAAAGCCATCCTCCTCGTCGTGTTCATCTCGAGATCATGAAGAGGAATAATCCCGCTCAATATCTTAATCTAGCTGGCAATAACGTATATATAAGGCCTCACAAGTACTGATGATGATTTACTCTCGGCACTTGCTTCACATTCGTTGTTATAACCCTAATCGAACATTCTTTCGATTCACCTTTCTTCCTCTTATTCAATACTTTGATTCGATTCATCAACATGCGCCAATCTTCGCGTGCGGCTATCGCAACTCTTGCGGTGACAGTGACTGCTGCATCGGAAAGCGATGCACGCACCGTATCCAATGTTCAGGCCGCCATACCTGCAAATGGGACCTTGCTAGGTATCGATTTGATTCCTTCAGCCGTGATAGCGGGCGCAGTTTACAATGCATCTGCTAGTATGGGTAGCACTACCACATACACCTCCTGCAATGTTACAGTTACATACACCCACACCGGAAAAGACGATAAGGTGGTCATAAAGTATGCTTTCCCAAGTCCTTCCGATTTCGAAACCCGCTTTTACGTCGCTGGTGGAGGTGGTTACTCTCTTTCTAGTGATGCAACTAGAGGACTTACATACGGTACCGCTAGTGGTGCCACTGATACAGGATACCATACCTTTGATTACAGTTATAATAAGGTAATCCTATATGGCAATGGATCCATTAATTGGGACACTATATATATGTTTGGGTACCAAGAGTCAGGTGAGATGATTCAGGTTGGAAAGACATTTATGAAGGGCTTCTGCGGCTTGTCCGATGACACAAAGGTCTACACCTACTACAAAGGATGCTTTGATGAAGAAAGAGAGAGTATAAGTCAAGTCTAACACTGAGGTAAGAAATACGATAGAGTTATCTCGGGTACTCCAGTTTTCCGTTTTGCACAACAATAAGCTCATTATGTGTTTTCATCTACTATTGAATAACTATTGGATTACTACCCGCCATCATGCGAATTGGATAAGATTGTGAATACTACCATCACTACTTGCAATCCTCTTAATAAAAAAACAGATAGTACAGCTTCTCGCATAGATTTTTACATACTCAACTTCGATCTCAGTTTGGTTATCAGCGAATTATACTACTGCACAGCAACTACCTTCTCTTCTCTCGGTTTCGGATTCAGTAAGCGTGCAGAAGGTAGTACAACTAGCACCACACCTGCCCAGAACGGAACAGTGTCTGCTGAGGGTGTCGCTGTCGCTCAAGCCATTTATGACGGTCTCCGCAACTCCGATAATAAACGTGCATATCTCTCCTGGCAGATCGCTTCCAACCCTTGGAGATGCCACTACTACTTACAACAACAACAACAACAACACTGGATCCTGGGAACTGAGCATTTCATCTACTGAAGGAATGTATATCACCAAGTATATTGAATTGCTCGATCTCGACAATCTTTCCGACCTTGATGGCGTTGCTTACGATACCCTTGTTGAATGGATGAACATCGGTATGGTGAGATACATGGATTGCTTATAAACTACCCTTTCTGATTTAATTACTTTCCAATCTTTTGGGGGTAAGTTGCTTCACTACCACGGTGAATCCAATCCAAGTATTCTATCCGCCTTATCCGTACACTACTGGCAATCTGTTCGTTCCGCCATGTACAGCAATGCTACTGTCAAGAAGAGTCTCAAGGCACTCCAAGATTGGTACTAATTCTATCTTGTTCTTGGTGCAGTTTATTGCGGAATTAACTTTCTTTAGCCTAGTTCATATCCCGAGAACAATATGGAAATTATGATTGATTGGGCTGAGAATGGAGTTAAGCTAATTGCTTTCAATGTGATAGTTTCTTTGGGTATATATGCAGGCAAAACTCAAATGCTTTGTCAATGACTAACTTGTTCTCTTTGGCAAAGTAACAGCTCTAATTTCGATTGTGTCAATAATGAGGCTTCTATTGATAGCTGGACTTACACTTTTGATGCTTTCAAGATTCCTGTCTACTAGGAGTGCTTAGATTACATCTTGCTGTATTTTCGTATGTAATAGGGACGTCAGATTGGGAGGATATGTAGAAGGGAATGGAAATTTTGCTTCTTGGATTGTATTGTGGATAATTGTTTCAATATTTGGTTCTGATACTGCATATACTACATAGTAGTGTTTTCATATTACTTTTGATGAATAAATAAATCTATCACTTTATCATATCATGGCGCCTTTTCAACTCAAAATAACGTAACATTAATATTTCTCTATAAGGGTTGCACAGAGTTTCCATACATTTCAGATACATATTAAAATATCCGGGAATTATCACATGAAATGGAAGAGTAGTCATACAATTATACAGTACAGAGATATAAATCAGTGAGGGAAAAACGTATTGATTGATACTAATTTAATACTATCATAAAGGATACATCAATCTATCTACCTAGGCACACAAAAGCAACAAAGATTTCTTCTCGGCTCGTCTTATATTCTCAAACCAACCGCAACCCCGAAAAGTTCATCTCAACACCTTTACAAAACACGGTATACTTTGATCAGCAATAAATAACACGAGGAATGCATGGGTGCCACGTGTTACCCATATGTCTTACATGCATCGTCTTCCAACAGTGGATCAAGCTAAAACCTCCGAGAGGTCGAGTTTAGAAAATCCCGGAAAGGTGCATAGTAGTGCTTACGCTATATGCATGTATCATCCACGTCGAAACTTGTGTGAGGAAACATGTGAGGATGATTAGGAGAGGAGGTTTGAATGTGTCGGGCTATAAATATTGGGATGTATTGGTGTGCGTTGGGGTTGAATTTGTTATTTTGGATGGCTCTTTTTGTGTTTTGAGGAACGGGATTTTGAAAAAGATTATTCGAATATTTGAGGAAGATTCTCTGGATGCTTTTGATTTGGGAATTGGACTATTTGATCGTCAATACATTTGGTAACATAAAGATCTTCAGAAATCGTTGCATCGACTGTCTACAACTGATTGTTATGATCACCATGCATTCATCACATACCAAACAAGAAGACACTATCCTCCCACCGCTCCATCCCAAGACCAAACGATCCATCAAAACATTCCTCTCTCCATATCATCCTCGACAGCTCTCCAAACTCCTCTCCCTCACCCCTCTCCGCTCATCACCACTCAAAGCCCCCCTCAACCCTCTCCCAGAATTCCACTTCTTCCCGCTCCTCCCCTCCGAAATCCGCACCATAATATGGACCATCTATTCCACCTTTCCCCGCATCCACATTGCCGCACTCAGCTCCCACCCCACAGCTTCAGACCCCTGGCCTCTCACCCTGTCCCGCTCCCCCCATTCGCATCCCTCTCTCCTCATATCCCACGAATCCCGCTCGATCTACCAACAAACCTGCTGGCTCGAAACGCTCCAGCGAATGCACATTCATTCTCAGCCCTCGATTCGCCATCTACCCTCCACATCATTCACCTCGAACTCTTTTCTCGCCTCCCCCGGAACCGATTCAGTGAATTGGGACACCGATATTTTCTGGTTCAAAGGCATTCCAACCGTGAAGCAACTATCGATTGGGTATCCGGAGAACCACATGCAGAGATATGAAGATGTGCGGAAGGTAGCGCTGGATTATGCGGTTTTGGATTATGAGGAGGATAGTTATTATTGGAGGAAGAGGTTTAAGGTGGGGTGGTATGGATTAGTTTGCGTGTTGTATTTGTTTGAGTTTTTGGAAGAGGTTTATTTTGTGCTTGATGTGGAGGGGGGAAAGGGTGTGGGGGATGGTGAGAGGGAGGTTTCGTTTGAGATGGTGGATGCGGAGGAGAGGGTGAGGAGGAGGTTGGAGGATGTGAAGAGCGAGGTAGATAGGGATGATGCGTTGAGGTTTCCTCAGTTGGATGATAGAGGGATGTATCCGGGTTTGGAACATCTGTTTTCTAGGAGGGAAAGGGGGTATGGGTGGCAGATTCCGAAGGTAAGATTTGTATATGCTAGGAATATCGGATGATGGATGGACACGTAGTACATACTATTCCTAGTGTTACTACAAGAGCATCCTTTGTGATTTCACATATTGAGAAGGGTCCACTATTAATTGTACCGTCAGATGCCCAGATTGCACTATTCTGAAATCTCGTATCAAGTGACTGTGCATCTCGTGATGATCAGACGGAAACACTGCAAATTTATCTCCGAGTAAAGGAGAAATCATGACTTTGTGCTCATTCGATAGACATCTGGCCCTCATAGAATAATATCTCCAGTAGTCGAACAGAACTTGCTACTCAATCCGTATTAGATAAGTACCTGTATCTAAAATAACAATCTACGAAGTAGAATATAAATAGCCTTCAAGCTGAGATGTCTTCCAAAGCCTCGAAGTAAATCGACAGTACCAAAGCCAAATACCCTTTATTTCCAAACCCCCAGAACAAAAGCCCTCACCTCAAAACAACAATCTACACCCTTCCCTTCCAATCACCCAATTTTGATACCCTCCAATATAAACCTCCCAACCCTCGCATTCTCAGAAACTCAAACCCATTCTCTCCCCTCCTCCTCCTCAACCTACTCATATCCTATATCCTACATCTCAAGCCCGCAACCCCAACACAACATCCACAATCAATCAACCAAATCACCACATCACAAATCCCTTTTACCCCAAAAATCCAGTCTTCCAGTTTCCCAAACCTCATCTTCACACGCCTTTCCATCCTATTCCCCGTTCCCCATAAATAATCCACATACCCACATAACCTCTCTCCAATTATCTTCTATAAAAGTAAATAAGCTTTAAAAAGAGGTCTATTATAGCACTTCAATAATTATACCTCTCTATATACCTCCTAAATATCCAAAACAAATCATCTCCAAAGATTCACTCTCCGGATCTCGTTTTTGTCGCTTACACACTTACACGGCGGGGACAAATGATGAAGTCATCGGGAAAAAAATGGTCAGTTAGTCGGATGAGATGTCTGTATATTCTTTGGAATGTATCTAGTGCACAGATTTCTGCGTTAGGCATGAGATGTACGAGGCTGGGAGGTTTTGTGTTTTAGTGGGGATTTTTTGGATGGGGATGAAGAAGAAGAAGAAGAAGAAGAAAGAGAAATTCCCAAAAGTTTTCGAGACAACAAAGATCTTTCCATCCTGCATATAACGCTAGCAAAAAATGCGAATGTAATTTTATCATCATAATACATAAATACATAACAAAAATCTATTTTCCCCCTCTCCCCACTCCCACGCTCAAAAGCCACTCACACATCATAACGACCATTACCCCTGACCACATAAATTTGTCCAACAAGCACCGCACACCCCACCGCCATCGAAATAGCGATAATCGGTAAATTAACTCTTGCAAAATCTAGCCTTCTAACATGAATATGTTTCCTGCCCAGAATATCTCTCCACAACAAGCCAGCTAGGGAGGCGCTAAAAGCCGTACTAAAAGCTCCATAATTTACACCTACAGCCATCGAATATACTGTCCCCCAGAAAGTTCGATCGCTGATGGGAAGACCATTGTTACGATGGATTTCTTGCCATGCTTGGATGACGCGACAGAGAAGGATTGTAGTGCCGATGTTTGTACCTGCGAACTATGGTAGCAGTTAGATTAGTTTTGAGAGGCCACAGGTTTTGATAAGAAGATACTCACGTTACAAAGAATACATGAGAGAAATCCCATGCCGCCAATAGCTCCAATAGTACCAGTTTTGTCGACCCAATGATCCCAGCCATAAGCGAATACTGGAACCCATCCTTTAGTTACTAATGCTTGTACGAGAACGAACATTGAAAAAGCAAATGGGACAAGGGCGAAAGGTAGATGAGCAACTACTGCTGTGACAGTTGGAAATGTTTCTTGACACCATAGATATGCCTCGCCAAAAAGCGTAACTAATGTTGAACGTCCGCGCTGCTTTTGAAGGTCGACCTTGCGGGAAGCTTTCTCGGATATTGCTCGGTCATTCGACTCCGACTCATGACTTATCCGTGGACCTAATACCCCTGGTGAGAAAGAAGGAGATTCCGCGAGCTTTGATTCTTTCTTTTCATCTAGTGTGCTCATTACACTGTTCGAAGAACGACTATTTTGTAAATTGTCTTCTATTGGTACGAGCGTTGAGATAGAAGATTCCAAACGATCACTCGGTTGTTGGGTTTGCTCATTGAAACTTTCCGATACCAAAAGTGTGGGGGTTCGGCCATTCCTTGGGCCATTTTCGCCTTCCAATATCTTCATCTCGAACTCCTCGGGTGATTTTGTTGGCCCTAAGGAAGCTCCATTCGGACTTTGAATATCTCGCTTCTCTTGTTCTAAAATGACCTGACTCGCTTCTTGCTCTTCTCTGATCGCTCGCTCAGCTCGGGCAAGTTCGACTTCGTGTCGTCCATTGCGAGCGATCTCGCGTGTTTCATGTCGGTTAATCCACCCTAATGAAATCTCCCAAACAAACATCACAAAAGCCGCTGGCAAAGTCACCCAAAACACTGGATATTCGCCTTTACTCTGACTAATAGCATTAAGAACCAGAACCATAATAAGTGTTATGGCCATGAGAATAGCTCCAAATGCTGCGCCTTTTTTATCAACAAAAGGATTCATGATTTCCTCAAGAGAAAGTTGTTTATCTTCCGAGGGTTCATTATCCTGTTCCTCACCGGAGCTTCCTTTCGCATTAGGAATGTTTGGATTTACAGGCTTCTTGGCCTTGGCTTCCTCGGAGAGCTCGTGCATTTTGATCGAAAGTGGAATGAGAGCCTCATCAGCAAAGACGATATATAGTAAGAATGGGAATAAAACGATCGCTGTTGCGACTACTGGAACGATCATGTTCGCTGTGTAATTGATAAACTTGATACCAAATGCACCAGCTAGAACAAGATTGGTAGGGTTAGAAGAAACAAGAATGGCCGAGGCGATATTAGCAATTGCGAACTGAGTGAAGATCCATGCTCTTGGGTGAATAATATTACTCGATACTCTGGTCAAGTAAGCAAGGAATGCAGTACCAGACAGAATAATGGGATCATTTCCGATGAAGGCGCCCAAGCAGAAAAAGAATGCATAGAGGAAGAAGAACAGTCTATGTCCAACTTTACCTCCCTTTTGAAGCACTTTAAATGCTAAATATCTGATGAGACCAGAAGCATCGATCGAAATGGCAATATATGCGAGGGTAATGAAGAACACCATGATATCAATCGGATTGATACTATTTGCCCCAACTGTCCCATCGTGTACTTCTTGTCGGCCGATTGCCAAGATAGCGAGTAGAAAGAGATCTGCTATCAAAGGTGCTGTCACGAAATTCAAAGGGAAGTTCAATTTCACGAAACGCGTGACTTTTCCACTTTCGCCATCTTGGTGATCATGCTGATAATCTTCCTCCCTTGGCGAGATCAATCGCAAATGGCTTAGAGTATCCAGAAAAGCGTTTGATAATTTTCGGGGAACATATACTGGAACGTGAAAAGGGAAAAGGACAATGATATCTATGTGATTCAGGTAAAGTTAACTACCCCTTCCTGGAAAAGCAGCATGTTCGAGAAATAGTTAGCACTTACTAGTTATGACAAAAACAATGAGTGTGATTATAGATCGCCATTCTTTAATTTTATTGGTGTCAAGACTCTCTGCCGTCATGCTGAAAAGTCCCTTGCGACGATAATATCACCGGCAAACAAATTTGTTGAATAAATGGTGATGAGAATCTATCTCGATACCTCGCGAGAGATAATTCTGTCGCGATGGGAATTCCAAAGTACCCTCAGGTGATTTCGCAGCCTTGTTAAAGTCACCAAAAGTACTATGGATGTCCAACACTCTATTGAGGCGATCACAGTACATGTACATGAGACACTCTAGATGCGAATCGCACCTTTTGACGATACCTGTTGGGCAGAAATCAGTTAAAGTTCGACATGGGATGGAAAATTTTCGCAGAGTAACAGACCTGAGAGAGACCCGATAACTTCAAGAATCTCCTTAGGCTTGTAGGATAATAAGATGAGCTTGTGATGATTAACGCATTTTATTCTCAAGCAGAGACTGTTGTAAAGACCGTTTAAAGCCAAGAAATATGAATACCGCACGTGGATAGATTCTCGTCGTGAAATGGATCAGATTTCAGGCGCCAATAAAGGGCAAATCAAGTTGAAATATAATTGGATTGGATTGGATTGGATTGATTGTAAGACTGCATGTACATGTGCATGTAAGTACATTGAAGACGAGGCTGTGCCGTTCGACTTACGTATCGAATTGCCTTGAGCTTTTTGGGAATAGATTCAAGAATATCTATCCTCTGTAGTACTTGGAAGGCGAATTGAAGGAAAAGATGCCAAGGAAAGGGAATGTCAGCTGTAAATCTCACACCGCATTTATTAACAAGTAATGAATGAATGTCATCGTTAACCCCACGAATCTACCAACTTTCAAGGTTCACATTGATGGCAGGCATTCAGGTTCACATATACCACCAGTACGCCGGTAGTAGTGGATGATTGTCCGGGCCAAATTTCATTGATTGTTGTGAAGAGCGAGAAACGAGGTTTGAAGCTTATATTGAAAATAGAGCACTTTACATGTCTTGATAGTCGTCGACTGTGACTTGGCGCCCAACAGGATGGGATGGAATATAGAGCAGATAGACTGGATGATGAGACAGTAAGATCTGGTACGCATGTTGATCCATCAGGTATCTACCAAATAAAGTTTCAGTAGACAGCCATTCAAGCGTCAGCAATTATTAGATACATACATAGTTACCGACTGGCATTCATATCATACTTTCGCGGGCAGCTCCGGATCTTTAGCTTAGAGTTAACAGAGTGAGCCTTTTCATTCTAGAAGAATGTCCATCTCTAGTGCGATGCGATAGTGAGCTACCTCGCAGTTACTCATAGCATCTGATACAGTATGAGGTAATGTAATAAAGTAACAAAGCATCAATCATTACAACCCAACAATCACTGTCATCACTGTCATCA